CTTGCAGACCAAGACCAAACCTGGACGCAAACCCCGACACCACACGGACAGGCGTGCAAATTGTGAATGGCTTTACTATGAATGGTTGTTTTGTGTAAACAAAATATTACGTGACTCACGGAGGCCAATCTGTCTCCACCATCTTCAACACCTTCAAATGTGGAGAAAGGACCAATGATTGCGAAGAACCAGGCGTTTGTGATGCTGGAGTCACTAGAGGTGATATGAATAACTACTCATCATCAATCATCAAACCAATAAATATCAAACAACATCTATTGTCTGAAATTGTCTATTGCCAGGCAGAAGATGGCGCCAATGCTGGGGAATCAGGGAAACTTCCGATGAGCTCCTTGCAGAGCAATTCGAAGAACAATCCAGCCTTGAGCCCAAAAGAACAGGACCAGCTTCACATCCAGATCAAGCAGGCCCAGCAAGAAAAGGCGAAGCCTCGAGGAAGGCCAAGAAAGGAGAAGGAAGAGTCCAAAGAGTCCAAAGAGCTCGGAGAGTCCAAAGGGCACGAAGAGCACAAAGAGTCCAAAGGGTCCAAAGAACACGAAGAGCACAAAAAGTCCCAAGAGTCCAAAAAGAAGAACATCAAGTCCCAGACTGCCAAGGCCAAGAGTGCCAAGGCTAAGGCCAAGGCTAAGGCCAAGGCCAAGACGAAGAAGGTTACAAAAAGGACAGAGGAAGAAAACTCTTTGGATTCAGAAGAGGTCTTCGAGGAAAGCGAGGAGGAAAAGGAGGAGGAGAAGGATGAGGAGGAGGAAGCAAACGTGGCTGAAGAGACAAAGCCCACCAAGTCTACAAAGAAGACAAAAGGGACCTGGACAGCTGAGAGGAGGAAGAAAATGAAGACATTGCAGGAAGCTTTGAAGAAAAGGTTCCCAAGGGAAAAGTTGAATGAGTTGACTGAGGAACAACGAGAGGAAATTGATAGAATGGTGGAAACGGAAGCAAAGGCTGAATTGGAAGAGCTGAAGAAGGCTTGTGAAGCTGAGGGCACTACCCAAGAGCCAACAAAGAGCAACAGACGCCCAAGGAAGACATCAGCTGAGCCAAAGGCAAAAATGAACCTCAAAGAAGCTACTCGACGCGCGACTGGTGGCATGAGCCAAGGTGAAAGGAGCCAGGGGGCGACAAAGACTGAAAAGAGTACAGCAGCCAAAAAGTCAAAGAAGATCAAAGAAGAGCCAAAGGACAAGCAGGACAAGAGCCAGGCAAAGAAGCCAAAGGATCCAGTCAGACAACGATTGGAAAGCAAGTTTGAAGCTGAGGCAGAACGCGAAGAGGAGTCTGATCCAGAAACTATCCATGAGTGGAATGAGGAGGCCTTGAGCAAGAGGGAAGAACGGAAGCGGAAGATGTCTGAAAAAGCCAAGGAGTCTAAGAAGTCTGATGACCAGGAGGCTCCTCTGCTCCTCTTGTGTGTATTGTTAGCTTTATCTTGTGTCTTCTGCATATTATCTACTGCTTTCTCACAGGAAGAGCCAGCACCAAAGAGAAAGAAGGCCGGACTTTATCCATCTAGTTCCTCACTTACTTCTTGTCCTACATGGGCACATGTTCTATGCTAGTCTAGTCAATCCATCAGTCATACTGCCAGGGCACACATGGTCTTGTGGGCCTACGGTCCACCTATCATGAGCACATCCAAGAATGCATGGCCAAGCTCAAGGAGGACCATCCGGATTGGACAGGCAAAGAGCGAATGAACTTGGCCCGTGCAAGGCGCGGGTGACAATGCTTGTTTGTATGTAATGTTTGATGTTGTTCACCAGTCAGTATTGCTTCTGATCTCCTCTAAAAGTTAATCTTCATACCAACATGTCCCCATGGCAGGTGGAGGGTGCACCCAGACCGCGTGAACTCTATGAGGAACATGTCAGCATCTGAACTTAGCCGGCGTCGCTTGAAAGTTAACACTTCTGAGGTTCCGGACCCAGCAAAGCAGGATCTGGAAAACTCCTCGAAGGAGCCCTTGGCGTCTCCTGAAGACGATGGTTCGAAGTGATCCCACCATGTCAAACCTTAGCCTGTTTGTTGGATCCTGTTTTGCTTGTACGACCCTTTGTTTTGCTTTCAAAGGATACCAACTTGCAATATCATGTGTCTGCACCCTTTGGTATTCTAATTTACTTATAAGTCGTATGTTTGTCACTGTTGCGCAAAGGAGGGATCTGTTGAACCAATGGGGGAAGCTGCGGCGCGTGTAGTTCTACACGCACCATAGAGGCGTTCCTCTTGAAAAACCTGGTGGGAAGGGTAGTTGCAAATGGTCATTTATGTCATAGCTACCATAGCTGTCAACAAAACCACTGGGACGCCTTTTGACCAGGCTTGGACTGCCCAGCGGTTGTCTGAGCAATTAGATAGAGCTCTGGCCGGATGCGACCATCTGCCATGATTCAGTGTACATGGAAAACACTGGAACATTTCCATGGAGAGAGGTCTGAATCATCCAGACCAGCACAAGGGGAAAAATGATGCTGCTGGTCCCAAACATTCCATATGGTCTGGTCACTATGCTCTCAAACGTGTCACTCTCACCTCTCAAGATCCCTGGCTCATTGAGCCACTCCTGGCCTTGGCAGGTGAGTTGGATCGCACCATGGTGTGCTGCTGGCGGAGTGATGAGGAGTGTGTTGTTTTGGAAATCCCAGAGGAGAACTCGAAACAAACCACGGACGCAGACAAGTGCACATGGAGGGAACTGATCGATGAGATCACAGAAACCATACCAGACATCACCATCAACGGCCATGTGTTGGAAAAGCCTTCAGCGGTCCAGGAAGGTATGTGTCTCAGAACTCGGTGAAACACATTTACTGCTATTCAATCCCAAATGGCACAGTCTCACCCCTGATTAATTGAGGCGGGGCGGAATCACCCTACATCATCAAGCCCAAACCACAGCAGATCTTCTTTGGCTGGAACCATCCTACCAGCATGGGGAGTGTCAAACATCAATCTGTGGCGTCGATCTTCACATGTTCAGCGCCCTGGCTAACCACCACCCCCTAACTGGGCTCCTCCTCAAAGGCGTTCAGCCACCCAGGCAATTGAAGCATCCAAGACTCTGACCCGCGCATGGAGGGTGATGGTTCAAAAGGAAGCGAAGGCATTGGGTTTGCTTGCTGGGTTCCAAAGTGTCTTATGTTTATATTTCGGACTATATACTAAGTTCACGTTAAGATAAATAAGGAGATATGATATGATGAGTCATTCTCTGAGTCTCAGTCTGCCTTCAGGAGCTTCAGCCCAGAGACTCACCTTTAGTTGCTTCAATGAATCACCTTTAGTTGCTTCAATTCTGCAAGATGAGTGATTCATCTGGCTGCCAAGGAAAACCATTATACTTCATGAAGAAGCCAATCTCCCTTGGGGAGAATGAGTGTGTGCGTTTGATTTAGCCAGCTAAAGGCGACCAATTTCTGATTGCCTAATTTTGAAGTGGAATGGACACCGATTACGATGAGCGAGAAAAGTTTGCGGATGGCTCTGCAGCGAGTGGGTATGGAGTGGGTATAGACTGAATTGAAACACCTGAATGCAAAGTTGAAACACCTATGCAAAGTTAAAACACCTAATTGCAACGAAATTTACTTATGTATAGATTTTAATATTATATTAATATTAGGGTTTGTTTTCTTTTTGATTTGGATAAGGAATTATTGATCGGTTATTTTTGCGTATATATTTACCATATAAATATATCTTTGGTATTAAAAAAAAGAAATATTTAATTTGTGAATTTATATATTTTTATGCACTAGGTTATTTTTTGTATTCGTTCGATTTATTCGAAAGTATTTTGGGAATAATATTAAAGACTTTCGATTTATCACGAAAATTAGCGAAGCTAGTTGGAGCAAATTTTATTTCGATCGGGTGCAAATCCTAATTCTTGATTTTTTAGGTCGAAGATCCCCCACCCCTTCACTTCCCCTCTCCCTTGTCCCTATCCTACCTCCCGTCTCCGCCTTCCTCCCACCCTCCTTCCCTCTTCTCTTTCTTCCGTCCTGTCGTCGCTTTTTGGCATGCGGTTAGCGTTACGTATCTTGCGGCCGCTCTGTTTCCCTGTCTGCCTGTCTCCTTGTTTCACTGTCTTATTGTCTCACTGTCTTATTGTCTCATTGTCTCATTCTTTCATCTCTCTCATCTCCCTCATTTCTTTCATCTCTCTCCTCTCTCTCCTCTCTCTCTCCTCTCTCTCCTCTCTCTCT